TTCCTGGAACAAGCCTGCCAAGAGCCATCCATAATGTGATTACAGCACTGTGGGCTCTGTGCTCCCCTCCCAGCCCCAAATTTAGGGTCAGTTCTGGGCTCTAACCTCCTGGGACAGATGTTCCTGGGGAGAGGCACTGCGGAATTCCCTCCCTGCCCTTCCTTGAAGTTCCACCCTGGTTTCCTCTGTTTCCCCTTGGCCAGTGGTGTGCCCAGTGCCTGCCCTCCCCTGGCTCAGCTCCCCTGTTTCTCTCACTTCATCCTTACCCTGCTGTCCATCGTGTCTGTGCGTGTCCATGTCGCTGCCACTCTGAACTGAAGGGAACCAGTGCTCCAGATGTGTGCCAGATACAAACCCAAATCCTTGCTTGTCCTTGCCCCGGTCTGCACCAAGGCCAGACAGACAAATCGGGTACTCAGCTAGCCAGAAAAATTTCTTTCATGGCCAAAAGTACCCAGACACCAAGACAGCCAGGAGAACCAGTTGCTCGGCACTCCCAGGACATGCCTGTTTGATGGATTTCCTTGTTGCTACCATAACTGTGAGATTAGTTCCTGCAGCATTAACATCAACAGCATGCACGTGCCTGTGCAGCCTTCTTCAGCCCTTATCTGAGAGCAAGAATAGCAGCTGACAAGTCTTGTGAGGTAAATATAAAGGTCAGCTGTTGCCTCCCTGGATGAGGGCTGTCAGGAGGAGAGAGACACAGCACTTTCCTGCCTGCATGCTTCTCACAGCTTCTGCAAGTCCTGTCCCTGCTCACGAGAAGACAGCAATGCTGTGAGGTCTCCAGAAGTGCTTTTTGGTGTTGTCCAAGAGGGTGTGGGAGCAGCTCCTCCCCGTGTGACCCCCTGAACAGGCAGGGCTTTGGGTGAAGGGAAGGTTCTGGCTGGGGCAGTAGGTCCTTGCTTGGGATTCCCTCAGCTGGGGGCCAGGCCATCCCTGCAAATCCACCCTGTGTGAGCTGCTGGGAGTGGCTGTGCTCCTCCCAGACATGGTGGAACCGAGAGGATATTCCTGAGGAATTTCTCCTTCTGCTGGGACCCCCAAACCTATAAAATTATGTCTTGTGAGCAGATATCTAGGATCAAGAGTATGAATATGAAGTTGTAAATGAAAATAGTCCTCTGGTTGAGCTAATGAACTTGGTCTCAGATAATGCAAGATTCACTCCTGCTTCTTACACAATCCCTGGAGAGATACCTGATAAATTTCTTCATCCTCTAATGCTGTTTTCCCCACTGGAAAGTTTGGGAATTTAAGGTGCTTTACTCTCTCACGGGACTGTAGGAAAATCTGGTACAAGTTATAGGTGGAGCTCTGCTGTAAGATTGAGGTGCACCACAGAAAATCTCTGTGACAGGAGCATGTGACTTTCTTCCCAGAGCAAGGTGATTGAAAAATGAAAGAGAAATTAAAAGTGAAGGAGAGAATTTTGAAGACTTCTGGGGTCAGAAGCAAGGGCAAGATAGCTGAAATCCTTATCAGTTTAATTCTTCATCCTGATCTACAACATACTTTTTTGTATTTAATTGATTTATTTAGATTGATTTTTATAACTCACTTTAATTGAGGTTCTCTATGATTATTCTAGCAAACTCAGTCTGCTGTGGAATAATATGCAAATGTATTTTGTTCTTAAAGTGACTTATCACCTTCAGGCAGAGTAAGATACCCTGAATTTTTCTTTTCTTTTTGTCTCAGTTGTCCTAGAATCCATCATGTTTATAACTATCAGATACAGATTTCTTTGTATCAAGGCTATGAAAAGATGAAATGGAAGTGTGATGTACACGTGTGTCAGTGCATGATCGCTGGCATCTCAGAGTGGGTGAGATGAGCTGAGTTCACCTGAAATAGCAGACTGTAAGATCCTGTCTGATCACAGGGATCAAGAATAAAGGGGTACTGTGAGATGGGAAATGTTTGCTGAACTCACCAGTGCAAGAAAATCCTTACAGCCTTCTAACAAAGTGGTAATGAAATATTGCACTGTGGTAGAAAGTTGATCTACATCTAGTGTGTGTGACTTTCCACCTTTGTAGTTGGACATCTTCAGAAATACCTGGGGTAAGAGCCATACCCCCAGTTTAACATCATCCCCTCTGTATTGCCATACTTAGAGCTGGGTGATCTCCGTGCTGTGGTCAGTCAGGGAGGAGGGGATTCTTCTCTCCTCACATTGCTGTCTAAGAATCCAGTGGCCAGGCAAAGGTGGTTGTCTGCACTCCCTTTATAGACAAGGGAACAAGGTGAATGTCTCTAGCTCCTGAAGGTGCTCTCTTGCAGCAGGGTGCATCATGCTCTGGGCATGCTTTTGCTTTCTGAGCTGCCTCAGAGCATCTGTAATTGCTTTTCAGGAGGTGCCTGAGTTTGAGATCACCAAGGCTAAAGGGCAGGAGCACTCAGCCCAAGCCAGAGGAGAGGAAATGGGCCTCAATAGTGCTTTTTATTTCTAGACAATGTTATTTTGTGATTCACTAAAATTTCTGTTTGCTCCTGATGTTTGCAGAGTGAGTCAAATATGAACACTTTTCTTATGAAGGGTATGCTAATCTCAAACTATAACACTAAACAAAAATCTCTAATCCAGATGTACCTGATATCCTCCTTGCCTTCCTTTTTCACCCCTCTGGTGAGAAGCCAAGATTTCTTCTGTTACAATCTCCTTCAGGAGTGACAGCTGACATTTCACTCAGAAGCTAGTGACTCTGGAGAAAGGACTTTTATATTCCTAGGCAGTCAGTTCTGCATTTGAAGTGCTGAGGGAAGTGCTTTTTGGTTTATGTATCTGTGATATTTTATATTCCTCATTATCAAGACATCCGACTGTCTCACAGTGTTCCCTGCACTGCTGCAAGCCCTCTCACACATCACTCAGGATCTATGAGGAAAGTGGGGCAATAAGACCATGTTGGCTTAGAAACAAGCTTTTTTTATGAGACATTGCAGACCATGCTCAGAGCCAGGAGTGAGGAAAAAAATGGAGGAGATTGTAGAGGCAGGTTGTAGAGCTCTTGTGAGAACTTGAGGACCCCAGCCTGCTTCTATGTTGCATTTGCTATACCTGGATTTTTTCAAGAGACAAAACTGTCTGCCTGAAGAAGCCTAAATAGTATTGTAAATTATTAAAAACATAACATAACCTGTGCCATTTCTCACTGGCATCAATCACTTTGTCTTATCCAGATCACACCCCTAATACACACACAAAAAATATTATTTTGGTCAAAATTCTTTCTTTTTTTACATTTATGGTCACATTACTTTAAGAGGCTTTTGTTTTTTAAAAGAGTATGTTAAACCGAAAAATGCAGACACTGTGATAAAATCCAACCCAGAGAACATCTGAAGGGTTTGAGTTTAGTAAGTACCTCTTACATTTTCCTTCAATTGATAGAACTTAGCTCCTGTTTCTTTGAACCTCTTGTTCTCACTGAAAGCCATGCTGACATGCTTTAAAAGCATTCAAATAACTGCTGCTGTGACTAGCTACACAACATATTCTGTTCTGTAATACACATTTCAGTTCATGAATGCCTGAGCAAAAAGTGGTAATGAAGAGCTAAATCTCTGGTACTACTACTTGTTCTTCCATTTGTTTCTTCATGATGCACAAGATCTGATTCTTTGGCACTTTGCAAAAAGTGCATCTGTACTCAATTTTAGGTACAACTAAAATTGAAGTTTAGAGCATCCCTAAGGAGATGCTCAGAACTGGGCTGTGGCCAACCTCATACACTAAGTGGTCTTAACTTTTTTATTTTATTAAGGAAATGGAGTTCAGATTTATCACTTTGCATCAATATCATGTGACCACCTGCTCTGTCCCAACTCCTCACTATGATGGGAGACACTCAAGTGTGTGACCACAGGAGTTTATTGTCTAGACAAGATAAAATCAAAAGGTTTTCTGTGAAGTTCTGCAATTTAAAGGGAAGGATATGACTGATGTTTTAACTGAGGCAGTGGAGAAGGAGGGCTGAGAGACATTGGAAAAGATAATGGGATGCAAAATGGAAGAACACACATTACACATGGAATGGATGGTGGGCAGAAGTTATTTCCATAGGCAGCACTTCCTCTTGAAGAGATCAGAGGGCAAGAAACCCAGGTGGAGACATTGATGTAATATGGTCTGGAGCCTGAAAACACACTGGTCATAGGAGAACACCTCGAAAAAGGCTCCACGTGGGATTAGGACAGGCCGGCGGGGAAGGCCTTAGCTGAGGAGGGCAGACAGGGAAAGCACACGGCCTTGAAGAGGAGGGGCAGATCAGCTAGCGGAGTCGAGAAGGGGAAAAAAGGAGCAGCTGTAGCCTCCAGGCAGAGATGGGGAAGCAGGGGAGCGGAGCAGGCCCGGGCCGCGGCAGCGGCAGCGGGCCCGGCTGAGCGGCGGCGCTGCCGGCGGGCCCGGCACAAGCCGCGCAGCGCCCGGGCCAGCTCCTGCCCCGCACACGCTCCCAGGCGGCCCTGCCGGCCGTCTCGGCCTTCCCCGCCGCCCCCGGGGCCTTGCCGGCCCCTCTCCCGCCGGCGGGTCCCTGGCAGCTCCGGTGCCAGCGCTGTCCGGCTCCCTGCCGGCTCTGCCCTTCCTCTGCCCCGCGGGCTCCGCTGCGCCCCTGCTCCCAGCGGGACCGACCCGGGAGCGGAGCAAGGACGGGACCCACGCAAAACGCGCGCCCCGCGGATTCTCCTGCGCCGACCCGCCGCAGCCGCCCCGTGCGGGCGGGCTCGGAGGCCGGGGGGCCGGGAAAGGCCGGGGATGGAGAAGGAGATTGCCCGGGATAGCAGCCCCGGTCCCGCCCGGGTCGGGTCCCTCCCCGCGGGCCGGCCCGTGAGTGGAAAGTTTCCCCGGAGTGACCTCTCATAGTACGCGCCCGCTAGGAAATCTCATTCAAGTATTTTTGTCAATGGGGTGGGGGGGGCATCCTGCGCCCCGGCCCCCGGCCCGGCTGACGTCACTGCAGAGGCGATAAATATCTGTTGATATAATTGGACGTGAGATTTGGGGTTGCGATAGCGAAACTCGGCCCATCGCCGCTCCGACGGGCCCCCATGATTTATTCAGCAGTAGATCGGGGCACGCAATCGGGCTGTCAGGGAGAGCGTCAGCTTATTAGGCAAGTTCTGCGTGATTCCAGGAGAGGGTCTAAGCTATAAAAATCCCGCGCCCCGGCTCTGATTAGTACCAAATCTGATCCCAAGTTCGCCAGGAGCCGGCTCCGAGGGAGAGCGAGAGGAAGGGACGCCGGGCACCGCCGAGTCCCGCCGCCGCCCGCCCTGCCCTGCCGCTGCCGCCGCCGCCCCAGGTAGGAGCGCGGCCGCGCCCGGGCGCGCAGCGGATGCGCTGCCCTGCGCCGAGCGGGGCTGAGCGTCCCGCGGGATACGGGGAGCTGTCCTGGCCGGACAGGGAGCGGGGAGGTGGGGAACGGGCGCTCGCAGCCCACAGCTGGAGGGGAGAGCCGCCCCGCCACGGGCACCCCACGTTCCCCCTCTCCCCGGGCGGGGGAAGAGGCGCGGGTGGCGAATACGCGTGGACGCTGCGCAGGGGCTCAGCCCAGCCTGGTCCCCGGGAGCCGCTGCCGGGGCAGATCGGAGCCGCCCCGGGCAGCTCCGGGGCTGCTCCGCGGGGCTGTTCTGCATGGAGCGGCCGCCTCGACGGCGCGGGTGGACGGGCCGGGGTGAGCGCGGCCGGGGGTGCTGTGCGGGGAACGGAGGGGAGGGGAACGGAGCGGCGCCTTCAGCACCGGGACAGCGGCGGCGGGGACGCCCCCTCCCCGGCCGCCCGCCGCCGCCGCTCGGCTTTGTAACCCGAGCCGCCCCGGGCAGCTCCGGGGCTGCTCCGCGGGGCTGTTCTGCATGGAGCGGCCGCCTCGACGGCGCGGGTGGACGGGCCGGGGTGAGCGCGGCCGGGGGTGCTGTGCGGGGAACGGAGGGGCGCGGAGCGGCGCCTTCAGCACCGGGACAGCGGCGGCGGGGACGCCCCCTCCCCGGCCGCCCGCCGCCGCCGCTCGGCTTTGTAACCCGACCCCCGTCCCCCGTCTGCCCCCGCAGGTTTGGGCCCCGATCATGAAGATCCCGCTGCTGGTCTCCACGGGAATCCTGCTGGTCGCCCTCCTGCCCTGCCAGGAGTGCAGAGCTCTCAGCAAGAGCCCGGCACCCGCCCCTGGGGCTCTGCACCAGCCAGATTTCTTCCAGCAGCAGCAGCGACAGCAGCAGCAGCAGCAGCAAACTCTGCCCGTCCTGCTCCGCATGGGAGAAGAGTATTTCCTGCGCCTGGGCAACCTTCACAAGAGACCCGTTGGCTCTTTCTCCGCCTCCTCCAGCAGCACCAGCCACCTACAGCCCGAAGCCTCCGCCAGCAACTTTTTCCGGGCGGCGGTTCAACAGCTGCAGCAGCTGCCCGAGCGCTCGCCGGGGAACCGAGAGGACGGCGAAGCCGAGGGTGAGGCGGTGGAGAGGGAGAAGCGATCCGAGGAGCCCCCTATTTCTCTGGATCTGACTTTCCACCTCCTGCGAGAAGTCTTGGAGATGGCCCGAGCCGAGCAGTTAGCGCAGCAAGCTCACAGCAACAGGAAACTGATGGAGATAATCGGGAAGTGAAACGGCCCCTCCCCGCCTTGCCAAAGAGATTCCGCAGTTAGCACAAGAATAATTACACCGTCCGATGTACCATAGTGCTGCTCTGATGTCATCTCTTTATTTTTATATAGCTTTAAACCTAGAAGGGCGTACTCCGAACAGCCTCTGTCCCTTGACTAGCATGCACAACCGTGTACCAAGTGCAGAAACACGAGTGTCGTTTGTAACCTCCCTTACCTTTATTTATTTCTCCATTTCCCAGTTATTCTAGTGCCATCGCTACGTAGGGATGTGTGAGCATTGGAAGAAATGGTGCCAAGAAGACAGAAAACTTTTCTGTTGGGGGCAGGGAGGTGGGAGGGGGAATCTCTGTAAGCTACTTTCAATCCACTTTTTTTTCCTGTAAACATTTTCACAATAAAACATCTTTTCAGCGCTCGGTCGATTTGGTTGTGTAAGAGAATGTTTAATATTTATATTTTTAATAAAAGCTGCAAAGTAATGGTGCCGTGATAGACTTTCTTGCCTAGACGCCTGAGAGCTGCTCCTCCTCCCTCAGCGCTTACCGGCGCGGGGGAGCACCCCTGGCCCTGGACACCCAGAGCCGCGGGGAGCCCTGGATCTCCCCCGGGGATGTTTCCCTCTCTCCTCCTTCCCGGGGAGCTCCGTCTCCGCGGGCTCTCCCGCTGTCGCGCCCCGACGCCGCCGGCCCCAGGCTGCTCCCGGGAGCGGGGTGTCCAGGGCAAATCCCAGAGCTGCCGAATCCCACCTCTGCAGCCCCCCGAGGGGGCTCCCTGGCTCCTGCAGCCTCCTCCCGCCGGGGAGCAGCGGTGGGAAGGCGGTGAGGCGCTCCCGCATCTCTTTTGCCTTTTCGCATCCTCCCCGCACACAAAAGGACAGATTCCTCCCCGCTTCGGCTTCCCCCGTCCCGACAGCCGTGCCCGAGCGGGGTCCCTCCCAGGCACTTCTAGGGAGGCTGCAGTGGGTGTGGAGAAACTTCCCGGGAGGAGCTGGGGGAAATCTCCAGGACGACTGGGAGAAAATAGTAAATCCCTCACCCCGAACCAAATCCCAGGGAAGAGCTGCTCCAGCAGCCGGAGGCGATGCGGTGGCGGTGCTGGGCGGCGCTCGTTCTGGGCTGTGCGAGTTCCAAAGCTTTTCACGGAGCTCGCCTGTGCAGCCTCCAGAACTCTCGCAGGAGAGTTTTCCAAGGAACGTTCTCCAGGGAAAACAGACACCAGCGAGGGCCGGTAGCAACGGGTGTCCGGGAGAGGGCTGACCCCGCACAGCCTGCTAACCAGTCTGCACTGCCGGCTCACCAGTCCTGCCGGGACACAGCGCAGCCTCATGGCCCCACACAGGCCCCTGCCAAAACAGAGCAGCGAGGGTCTGCTGGGGATTTGGGAAAGATCCACACGTAACCCTAGTGCAGAGCTTGACACCTGGTCCCCTATGGCACTGGGCGTCCCGGCAGCCTGCCAATCTCTTAAACACTGCTGAGTGTTGACACCCTACTCACAGCGACAAAAACCACAGAGTTGCCTTCAGTACAGCTTGTAGAGCCTCTTTTAAGACACAAATTTCATTTCATTTGGTGGCTCAACATCTGCAATGCACATGGAACAGGAAAGCCAGCATCTACCTTTTCTACAGCACAGCACAGGGACTTCAAATTAAACCTTGAGTGAATACCTGTGACCACCTTATCGCACCCTGGTTTCATGTAAGAACATGCCCTCTTTTGTACACACACCGATGGCTGAGAAGACACGGACACAAGTTATGCCTGGACAGACTGGGCAGCACTTCAGCAACTGCCCCACATACTCAGAGCTGTGGGGGGGGTCTTGGCCAGTGCTTTGGATAAGTGTCTCTTCCTCACTCCTGCCACTGGGAATTTTCCTTACAAATAATGTGTTTCTGCAAGCGTCATCTGTTGTGGTGTAGTAGGAAGAGCAAGTGCAAAGGAAGAAATGGCAGCTTCCTTCTTCCCTCCCGTGTTCAGCCTCCGCAGCCTGGGAAGCACCAGTACTGTTAGACACAACCCTGACTTGGGGCTGCCAAGGACATGATAGTGTCACTGAAGTCACCAGCACTGACAAGCGGGGACACAGGAGGATACTGAGGAGAAACACTGTTTTGGCAAAGGATGCTACTAGAGAATATCATACCAGTGTTTTAGCTAAGAACATTGGTGAAGTGTTTACACCTACATGGGGATGTGCCATCAAGTGAGTTACAAAACACTAGCAGTGCTCAGCCTAAAGCTGTAGTGATGCTTCTTCCCCCTTGGAAGCAAGAAAATATTGGAAAACACTCTGACTACAATACATACAGTAATCTGTCCCTATGCTCCCCTCCCTCTCAGGTCTGTCAGTTCAAGGGTATGATGTGGAGGTCAGCTGAGTTCCAAGGAATGAGACCTGCTCGGATGCCCCTTCCCAGGCCAGTTCTGTGCTGACTGCAGCCAGGCTGCCTGTGCTCACGGTCCTTCTGAGGAGAAGCACACCAGAAGCCAGCCAGAGTGAGTCATCACTCATTCAGTGAGTTCAACCACGAGAAGGAGAAGACATGACGAGCCGGCTCGTCACCCCTCTCACTGCTCACGGGAGCTTCCTCCACTCGTCCTTGAGGGTATGGCTCAGAACCAGTCTGCAAAGGAAGGAAAGGTTGATAAATGGAAGAGGAAAATGTGAATTGCATTAAAATCCATAAGATTTCACAACATGCAGGGAAACAGAATGAATTGGGAAAGAAGGGAAAAGGCAGGGAGCATGGAAATTTGGGAAGCTAAGACAAGACTTCTAACACCAAAGAAGTCAGAGGGACTCTTGCCATGACCAGTGTCTGAGGAAGGATTATGCTGGGTGAGCGTGTCGCATCTGTGCAAAGGGCTTAGTCCTGAATTGGACCTCTGGAATATTATTGCACTGAAGGTGATAAATGCCTGTTCAGAAGTGATCCTGAGCCAGCTTGGCTTGTGTAGCTGGGCCTCCAGATTGATGTGAACCAGAGCCAAATGTTATTGCCAGTGCATTGCCACTCAAAATGATACTTGTTCTGCTGTTATGAAATCTGCCTTGGAAGTGTTTTCTTTTTCTTTTTTTTTTTTTTAAGTCTTCTAATATTTATTTCACTTCAGTTTAACTCAGATGAGGATCAGGAAATAAATAATACAGAGATATAAACGTCAGTTTATATCTGTCTTCTTTTTTACATAGGTGTCCTACACTTACAGTTCAAAAAGGAATCTGGACTTATATACAATAGCTGCTATTAAAAGAAATTTCTAAAATTAGTTGAATAGTTCACAGACCAGTGCAATAGGCAGAAATATTTTACTAGTTCCAGATCCCTTTGGCAAGGAATGAAGACTGCTTTGTGATAGGATCAGAAATCCTATTAAAGATAAAATATATAAAAATGGGTGATTTGCTAGCTAAGGAAAGCCTTATGTCTTCATCATTAAAACCACAATTTAACTTGCAATATACAGGATTTTTTCCCCTTTGTACTCCTAGATCCACACATACATTATTGTACATTCCTAAAATTAAACCAGCCACACCACCAGTCTTCTTTGTGCAGGGTTTTAGCTTACTTTTGATACCTCAGCATGATCTCAGGTGAACTATTTGATATCAACATACTACTCAATAGAGGGCAAATGATAAAGAAGTATCCTATAAATTCCAACATCTCAGTCATTCATAGAATTGTCCTAAACCAGAAAGTTACTTAAGCAGTGTTTCTAATAGATACATCCAGCAACAAACATTGAAGCAGGGATGCTTTTGAGGAACTGAAGCATTGGTGATTTTACTAAGCATTTTTGTAAGTACTTACTGTTGAAGTGTACTACAAGAATAAGTAAAAACTAGTGGTGTGTTAAGGATAAATTAGCTATTGGGCTTCATTCCAGTTACTACCTATTTCAGTGTCATCAACAAACCAGACAGCATGAAGGTATGAAAAGAAATAGATCCCTGTTTATTTATATCTAATTAGAGTTCACAGTGCCATTTTTATCAATATCCTTGATTGCTCTAAATTGAAAGAGCCCTATTAATTTCAATGAAATATTATGTGAGAAACTGCTTTACTATTTGAAATGTAAACCAATCTTTGACTTAGATTCATATTTTCAAAACAGGCACTCATTGCTACTTACTGCAAAACCCAAACAGGGATCTCGCAGTTAACTTTTGCTTGCCAACTTTATAATGTATTTTATGGAGACCACAAGCATGGGGAAAACATGGGAGAAACAGCTGTCTACTTGAATGCAAAAGCCCATTTCCAGCAGTGCTGGTGAGAAGGGCTGTCTCCCAGGCTCATGCAAAAGTATGGTAAAGAATTGGGCCCAGGGGGCCAGATCTTCAGCTGGAAGGCAGCTGATTATAGAAGGTCTGCCTCTCAGCCCTGGAAAGTGCTGATTGCAAATCTTTCAACCTGACTACACTTAAATACATGGCTAAACTCTGAGTTATAAGACATTTGGTGCTCTCTTCATCTTGGCAGATGCAGGAGCGTAGGTGGTTTATTAGTCTTTTGTGATGCTGAAAATTTTGCCTTTGTTTTTGGAAGGGCAGTCAGAGTGCCTGGACTAGCTAAGAGCAATTTTGAAACTGGTTGTACAATTGTGTGCACCAAGGCCTCAGCAGGGTGTGTAAGCAGGCATGGTCCTCACTTCTCACCCTGTAAAAGAATAGGACTGGCAAGAGGTTTAAAAGACAAGCCATTTCTCTTCTGGTGCAAGGAAGACTTCCTTTAGCACTTTCACTTGCTGTTCTAACTAGCCACTATCCAAAAATTTACAGTAAAACAAGACTAACTTTGAAGCAAAGAACTATCTACGAGTTTAAAGCTATGCTGAGTGTTTAATAGGATTTGGACCCAAGATATAAGAAGAAAGAAAGCACAATGCAATGACTTAGACTGGCAAGCTGACTGCATTACCCTGTTAACCAGTGCTGCTGGTACTGCATTTCAAGCACAACAATCTTTGTCTGCATCACTGCCAAAATTGTATTTCATAATGTGTTAACTCCTTCATATTTTGCTGCGATGACATCTTCCTCTGTCAGCAAAACAATGTTGGAACTCCAACACATTCCCACTGGGTTTGGCTGGGTGAAGCATTTGCTCCTGCACCTTGCTGCGCTCAGCAGGCTGCTAGTCTGCAATACCTCCATGTGCCTTTCCAAAACCAATCATTTTCCATCACGCCCAGCCAGGAGTGAGGCAAGCACAAAACTGACAGTAGGGCCATTCCTTGGCTTTTAGGCTTGTGTTTTCACACCTGTGACACTTCAGTGTTTGTCTCTGAATCACACAGTGACTGAGGTATGCTCTCTTAGTGTAAGACAAGAAACCATCAAAAGGTGCCAGCAGCAACTTTGTCCGTGTTAATAAGTCCATTCTTCCCTTCCAACAGCAGCCCACACAACTCAGAGTTATACAGTGTGCTGGAATTGTCCAAGACAAAGATTTCAGCTGTAGATTTTACAGAAAAAGACCTGTTTTGAACCACCTGTTTTGATTGTGAAAGACAATGCAGAAACAGGTCTTTGGGATTAAGACGTGACCGCTCTGCAGGTCCTTGTAGTCTCATGCTGGATTATCTTGCTCTCCCTGTTACTGCAACCCTACTCTGCTCCCAGAGGAAAGCTCACTGCTGGGCATGGCACAACCCTTGCCACATGCCTTTAAGACAGGCCAGATTCAACACTTCATTGTGTCTGTCCATTGCTATTAGGTAACTTGTCAAGCTTCTGCCTGAGCTTTATCTTTGCCTTGGAGATCTCCTGGGTAGGACTTGTTTTTCCTAGAATAACAAGTCCCAACCCTTTGGGTCCCTAAAAGTAATAAGGAATAACTAAAGTGTTTACCTCAGATTACATCCATCACATTAGGCCAATGCTGAGAGAGTGCTGAATACTTACACTTTGATTTATGTTTTCCCTTGTGGTGTCGAGTGACATCAGATGGTGCTTTCAATAAGCACCAGGAATTTTCACCAGGCCAGCTCATGGAGTGGGGAGAGAAGTACACCATGCATGACTGATGGTTGGTTTTGTTTTTCCCATAAGCAAAGTCCAGGCTGGAGTTTACTTGCCAATTCTGTGGAGGTGCTGAGCAACCACAACTCCCACTGAGCAGCCATTCAGCACTCCTCAGCATCTGGCACGCTGGAATTTGCATGAATAAACAGTATAAGGATCTCAGAGTTGAGCCTGATGAGTCGTTTCAAAGTTGCAAATATTCAGCATCTTTCAGTATTTGCATCTATAAGCAGGACTCTACTTGAATCTGTGTAAGGTTCTTGTAAAAGGGTGTGGGGATGAGGAAAGAGGTCAGTGGGATGGTTTGTCATAACATTTTCATTTATTAGGTCCCAGAAGTTATCCTGTTTGTGCTGGGGGAAAATATGTAGTCTAGACCTTTCATGTATTTGAAATACAATGAAGTCTTCACATTGATTTCTGCTTTACCAGCACTAACCTCAGCAGCTTTTAGGCACAAAGGCTGGGATAAGTATTGACAAACTTTAGCCATCCAGAAACAAGATTCCCATTCAAGCAAACTCTGTTCATCCCCTCTAATGGGAGTGATCAGAGAAAGGCACAACCAGAGGGTGATTTGTCCCATCTTCAGAGAACTGGATTGCTCTCTGGAGGTTTCACTCTCTACAGACACTCTGGGCGACTGGGTTAGAATACATCTGGCTTTTAAGCAATGATACAAGAAAGATTCCAGCCAAGTATTTCAGTATATCAAAACACTCCTTGATAGGAATTCAGAACTCTGACTGCAGTATTATTTTACAAGATCACAAACTCTTAAATTTAGGAAGCGGGAAGGAAAGGTGAAGGGCTGAATGGCTTCATAATCTACTTTAATGTAGATGGATGAGGTGGTTGGTTACAACCTATATGAATATTTTCTGGAGCAACAATGCTACCCAAAGAAGGTTCTGCCCCTTGGATCCCCATTCACCTCTTCCTGCTTTGGTTCCATGGTTCACTGCCCTTTTGGATTGCTGCAGCTCTTTGAAGGGCTGTGCTGAATGGGAACGTCACTGGAACAACATCAATTTTTTTACCTTTTTATTTTGAGGTGAAGGAAGATATTTTTAAACCTGGATCATTTGAATGATTTGATTTCAGCACAGCTCAACACACAGCTGCCTCAGCACAAATGCCCTATAAGTGGTGGCATCTGGGAAGCAATAAGAGGCAGGGCCATTTGGCAAAAAACTCCTGAATCACCTTTTCTGCCAGAGGAAAAACTGGATCCACACCCTTAGAGGCACATGAACTACCCAGTGCCTTTGCTGCCTCCTCTTTATCCAGCAGGAGAGCAAGGGTGTGAATTTGTTAGAAAGTGTGGGTCTTGGAGAGAGAAGCAGTAAAAATACAGGTTTCTTGCTTCCGTGATTTCTGTAGCTTCAGAAAATGAGCTAGAAATTAAATTTAATTCCCATTTTTAGCTGGCTTGTTTAGAAACAACCCCCAGTGTTGACAAGAACACGCACGATTAAAAAATGCTAGCTGGTTGCAAAGCAATCACAGAATCTGTAGGCTATGTTTGTCTGCCTCAAATGTCAAGTGTTACACTGCTGGCACTCAACACTTCCAGGCAGCGGAAACAAAGGGAGCACAACAGGTTATTTTTAAATAGTTTAAACTTTAGTTCAAGCATTTTGTTTTCATATTTTTATGCAGTCTAGCTCCTTCAGCATAACACCTGGCAGCTGTCACGTATATCACAACAATATTGTTTCAAAGCTAAGAGGCTGCTTATTTTGCATGGATCATTTTTATCAGTGGGAATCAACAGAGCATTCTCCAAAATATTTGCTACAATTACCTGCCACAGAAATACATAAGGTAGCAGACAAAATTATGTGCACAGACAAGCTCCATCAGACACAGAATTAGACATACCACTCTCTTAATAGTGGTCAGTAATGAATTTTAAGTCCATCGGGAGGAAATGCCTTTCTTCAATAGATCATCAATATATTACAATTAACACTTTGTGAATTATGTCTAATGCAGTCTCATACATAATGACCTCAAAGTGATAAAATATATTTCAGAGGAGAACAGCCCAATTGGCTTATTTTGGTATAGGTTCCATGCATCTCCAACGGGACATGGAAGTCCAGACACTTGAACCTGTGGTGGAAACTGCATTAGAGCATGGTGTGGGAGAGCAGCTTTCTTCTCAGCATTACTTGGGACAAATGACATACAGTTTCCCTATAAAAGTCACCTTTTTTTTTTTCATAACTCAAAGAAGAAAAGGCAGAAATAGCATACTTGTTTAATATTTGACCCACTCCTGCACCTCATTGATCCAACTTTTTATGGAGAGTAATTAACTACATATTTGCATGAAATCTAGTCCTTCTACTGGCCAGGAAAATGAAGGAAACCCAACAGGAGAATCTTAAAAACATGTTAATATTAAGGCTGCATGATCAGAACAGCCTGTCCTGCATCTATCCACACTATTCTTCATTCCTTTTGGAGTTAAGGTTTTTTGGGACCTCCTGATTAATCAGCCTTTTACCATTGCTGCTCACTTCCAGCCCTGCTGGAGAACTGTCTAGCAAAGGAAGGATCCTATTGAGAGGCTGCAGGAGTAAGTGCTGGTCACGTAGTACATGCTGGTCACCAGTGCCAGGAAGCTACTCATGAATACCAGTTGTTCCCTCTTCCTCCTACTGCTGCTTTGTCACACAAATAGATATGAATTCAGATTAACAAGTTAAATGTGAAGTAAAGACCTTCCAAGAACTTCTCCACGGCAGTAATCAATCTAATCTGCATTGTAGAAACTTTGCTGTTAGCTTTCAGGGAGAAGTAGCAAAAATAGTAATGGTTTAATGTCCTGTCTCTGTCAGACAGTCTTTCCTTTGACTAATGTGAACTTTTGTATTTCAAAGCTTTTTCTTCCTCTGCAAATGGAACTTTTGGAAATCCTATGAATGACACAGTGGTAGTTCAGGCTGTGATTCACCCTGGAGCTCCATTTGTGGGATCAGATAACAGAGCCAGCATAGCTTTGAGGTGTGTAGACATACACATCCCATGCTTGGAGGCTCATCCCGTGCTCTGTCATTGTGAGTGACTGGCTGACCTGGCTCTCGTAAGCCTGCAGGGGGTGAGAGTGGTGTACATGAGCTGTGGGCACAGCACAGCCTCTCTGAGACCAGTGGAGGTGCAAAAAGCCAGATTGTCAGCTAAAGCAACCTGCTGCCATTCCTTAAAGCCACCACATAACAGAAGAAGAAAGTCTTGGCCACAGTTCCAACATTTTTTCCCCCTCATCAGCTGTTGCTGCTACCACTTTTTCTTTGTGTGCTCACTTTTCCATGTCTCCAGTTGCCTGAATCTGCTCCTTACTGCAACCACAGCAACTGAAGCTGTTATCCAAGCTATGACTCCACTCCAAAACTCCAAAATTGCTCAGTGAGTAGCACTGTGATTGCCCAGATGGATGTCTGTCATGTCAAATCTCACATTGTAATCTCTGCTTGCCCGTTAGCAATGCTGGCCTGCTTGCACAGCACTCGGCCAAGTGATGAGTGAGATATTAAATCGAGTTTCCTTCTGTCCATCTCACACTGTTCCCTGTGAAATCCAAGGAAGTTGTGATAAATTCTGCTCTTAGAGCTTTGGATTCAGTCACAGTTGTTGACAGGGTATAGAGTACAGATTGCAGCCACTGCCACCAGAGGCAAGTTTGGAACTGACCTGCATCTGGGCAGGCACCAGCTCAATTTTTCTTTAAAAAGAAATTTATTTATTTTATAAAATTAAATTTTGAATTTGTCCATAAATATAAAACCAAATGTATTTTAAATACAAATATTTTGCCAGATGTTGAAGAGGCTCATCAGCACTAATGGGGGAAATGACAGCTACATTTTCTTGGTAAGGCATTTTGTAATAGAATAAGTCATACAGCAAGTGTTTCATCATGAACGAAAACCACTTCTGTGTACAGAAGTGCTGAGCCAGGAGTGCTCTGAGTGACTGATCTGTATTTCGATCACCACCTTCAGTGGCTGAGATAGACTCAGGCAGATTTTATAGGGTGCTCTCTAAATTGAAAAGAGCAGTAAGAAATTCAGATCACTTATCCCCCAGGACTGTGAGATCCTCATTCTCTTCTCAGTCAAAGGCATGATGTCTGTTTGACATCTGTAGCATGGTTTGAACATCGCAGCACCTCTTGGCTGGCAGCCAGGGATAACAGGGTTTTTTAATTAGTCACTGGGCTCTTACTTAATGACCTGAGGAAAATTGCAAAGATGCCAGGAATATATATCACCTGAAAAGAGATACATGACTGAATCATCACTGTTTGATATGTCTGTCTCCCCATTTTCCATTTAGTTTTGGCTGCACATGCAGGCCCCCTGGTCTTTATCTCCATGTTCAAAGCACAGTCGGTGGGCACTGCAGGGTGCTGCATCCAGCCCCTCGCCTGCTCACAAGCCTGGAAACCCTGCCAGTGGAATGATACCCTGCCCAAACATAGGGGGTCAGGCCCAGTTAACTAATTATCACCACTGGGATTTTCAATCAGATAGGCTGGCATTTAAATATTGATCCATCTGTAATGGTTACAGGACCGCCAGTGCTGCTTTCCAGAGGTGAGTGAATGGCTGCACTGAGAGCCTGGGCTGTCTCAAGGCAGTAAGGTAACTAACCAAATAGTCCAAAAGCAGATGGTTTGTGTAGTTGTGACAAACATCTACCACAAAGTGATGTAAACCAGCAACAGTTCATCTGTGATTAAGAAATATTTTTTGTTTACATTCTATTTTCCTTTCCAAACTCCTTAACAATGAGCAGAACAAGTGATGCTTGGAGGAGGAGGCTGAATGGAGGTAGAATTCAGTATTTAAATGAGCTAGTCATAGAAAGACAATGTCTAGGTGAGCCTGGCTTTGTATTAATTTCAACAAGAAAAATAATTTTGTCAAAACTGTCACTGTGGAGATGCTTTTACTAGTAATAGACTGAAAAAAATGAAATATCCATAAATCAGATGATATCTATGACTCACCAGACAAACAGCAGAGCAGACTATTTGAGGGAAAACTTCAGGTGAAGTATTTGCCACTCATTTTAATTATGAGAAACTGTTGTCTGAAATCTGGTCTTAATGCATTGCCCTCACGACTCATCACTGCTGTCTCTGAATCACCCAGATAATTCTCAAAATTAAGGGAGAGGGAGGTGTTAAAAGAGGAACAATCAAGACTTTGCTGATGTCCTCTGCATGTATTGCCAAACTGAGGGGAAAAATTCACTTGAAGCACAAAGTGAAGAAACAAAATGGAAATTTACAGGCAAAATTTACCACCAACTGAACATCAGCCTGAATGGCCACAGATGTAGCTGCTGTCACTGAGTCCCAACTCACTGAGTCAAACTACTGAGAAGCAAAGGCAGGATTTCTTGGTTGTTAACCGAGTTTCTTGCATCTAGTGTTTGTTCAGGTACAGGCTGAGTGCTCCCCTCCACCCCACCCCCCCAGTGAAATTTAAGAGATGTTTAGAAAGAAGATTGAAACAGAGTTTGATTTGGGCTTCTACACCAGCTGATTCAAGGGTCTCCTACAAAAAACCTCAGCTTCATGGAGGACAGATTACTCATTTTCATTCAGTCAAACCTTGCAGATTTTTTAATGGTGCAGGAATAAACCCATCAATTTTCCACCTAAGAAAAGGTAAAATACAGGTATATAAATACCTAGGTTGGAAATATCAAGTTGATTTTTGCTGTCTGCATTCCTGGATCTCTCATAAGCACTAAACACACTTGTTGCAGGGAGGAGAGAGCTTTTGGAGCAGCAGCAGGAAGAGCTGCAGCAGCTGGAAGAGAGCTACCTGGGCCATGCCTGTGGCTGATGCTAATAAACTTCTTGTTCTGCTCTGGGGGAAACTGTGGAAAGCTTGTTTTGGGAATGGGGACCATTTCTTAGCACCATTCCTGCAAGATCCAGCCTCACAAGACTGCCTTCTCTCGAGCAAGAAACCCCTTTTGGAACAGCTGGCTTGAAGTGGCTGCTTGTCTTCCTTACCTGAGCAGATTGGCAAGACTGAGTTTCCAATTTGGTGAAGAGAACATTTCTTATTTGTGTTCTGCTGCCATGCTTGTGCAAACATTCCAGAGCAGCGCTGTGCTAAAATGTGGGACCCTGCCTTTTATACCCTGATGGAAAAGTGGAGGTATGTGAGCAAAGAGCACAGCACAATCTCTTGGCCTGATTTTGGTTTTCAATGATCTTATTTTGTCCATGTTGTCTGCATATTGACAGGACAACCAATCAGCTGAAACTTAGCTAAATACTGACCTGTCTGATGTGATTTGAAGCTATCTCATGAAAAAAAAAAAAAAAAAGGATCACCAGCTGAAATTGAAGTATTCAGCAGCAGGGCAAAGAGAACTACAGTACATGAATACAGAGAAGACTGTCCTTATGGTAATTCTGGCAGATGGCATAAGGTTGCAAGCAAGTAATAGAAAATTTTAAAACTAATGAAACAAGATTAGCATAGGCCATTCCATTAGTATTTCTCCTCCCAAACAGTTCAGTCCTGATTATATTTTATATCCTCGTGGAATTAAAGCACTATATTTGCTGGCTGCAAAGGAAAATTAGATCAGGCTACTGTTTGCAGATGATTAACTTGCATTTCATTTCAGACTAAATGTATATGCTGGAGTCCTTTGGAGCCACAGACAGACTCTTTTCTTATGGGGAATTTGAGCAGCAGGATGCAGGGTCCAGTACTTCATCTTAGGTGAAATAAACTGGGTAACCACAGACACAGACAAACCAAGACTTTCACGAACGCTCCCAAATCTATATGGTTTCACTGCATGAGAGATGTTGCCAACAAAATATGATTAGGGAAAGCTGTGGGACTCCAAGATCTCTTTCTCCCATGCACTGGAAAGGGCTGCTTGCTAATGTCTGTGTCACCCACCACTAACACACCCCTCCCCATGGTGGCAAGGCTGTTCATTCATGCTATTCCTGCTCCCCGTGCTGTAATAATTTGCTGCTGGTTGTCATCTCCAGAGGCTCAGATCTCCCCAGCTTTAGACACCGAACAGAGGCGGCTGGGCTGGGAGCAATGTCACCTCACTCTCAGAAGGCAGGTGGGAGAGGAGCCAAGGGAGAAGCAGCAGCTGCTGCTGAACTTGCTCTTGCTGGAGATGCCTTTCCTTCTCCATCAGAGGCAGAAGCAGCCCGTGGTGACCACACTGCTGACTTCAGCTCTCCCTGAAGGAGGATGAAGCTGTGTGATGCAGAGTTACCTATTTTGTTCGTGCTGAATAATCTTCTTTTGGCCCTTCTTACACCAAGCAATCTGCACACCTGTGGGCTGTGACTCCTGTTGCCTTATCCCTGCTCCCACACTCTGGAGGAAATTTATAGATGCATCAAGACAATTTCTTAGAGTGAAATGACCCTTAAATAAAGTAAATGTTGGGAATTAATGGGGGAACTGATCTCTTTTTGCTGCTGAAAAACAATGAATTCCCTATTGTTGCATTCTATTAAAAGAGCCTGAAAATAAATTATATGCTGCTCTTATGATGACAGTCATGCAAATTTATATTACTATTATAAATAATTATACAGTTATTCAAAGTAATTTTGTTATTTAACTTTTGGGGCTTATCACACAAAGGAACAAGGGCAGTGACCTGATCTTTCATATGAAAAATAAAGACTCATAAACTGTCTAACCAGCCACTTCACTAGGCATGGAGAATAAAACCATTTTTATGCAAATAGGATCTGAGACCAAAATGCCTTTTTCCTTTACCTCCTTTCTACTTCATTATTAAATAAATCATAAAGATGTCACTGAAGACCACATTGAAAGAGGTCTCAAATTGTAGAAATAAGAGCTTTCTGCCTTTGTCTATTTTTAATTTCAAAAGGTATTCTGAATTAAAAAAAAAAAAAAAGAGAGGGGAAAGAAAGCATAGTGCTCTTCATATGCCTGATTTCCCAGGAATAAAAACAACCTCTATGTTCTTAAATAATAATACAAGTTTTCAAAACCAGACAAAAGTAAATGAAGATTAAACTATGATCCATGAACTTGAGATTTGCATTGTCCACTGCTTTTCAAATTCAAATTACTACCAGACAGTGAATCTTTTTGCTAATTAATGCAGCTAAAGTGTAGATGATAACTTCTATCCTCTCCCTTTTTATTTTTTTAATCGAGAGATATTTTTCAGTCGTAGTGCTGGAAGTTCTGTACATCAAAGCTGAATAATAATTTGTCCTTTTTCATAGATGCTCCATATAATGTACAGGGCTGAGACTACAGTGCAGAAAGTGAGCAGGCAAAACCAATCACCTTTGTGTTGAAGAATAGATCAACATTGAATTTTTCTGTCATTTGAGCAAATACCCAAAAGTAATTACAGTTGTTTTGAGTCAGAGGTTTTTGGTTTTCAGTAAATAACATTAAATATCCCAGCTGTAATACAGAATTCTCTGTAGATCAGTCATATCACACTGAAAATGAACACACATGTATGTCTTACCTAAGAGGGGCACAAATTTGAAGCTTGAGGATAGTCATGGATATTGTCTACCAAAAAAAGGGGTTATTCCAGAAGAAATGTTATGGAATATTCAAGGTTTAGATTACAGAGTTTGTATTTGGGACAACTTCATTTGGTAGTGAAGTTCTTTGTCCTTGATCTTGTGGGTATTTCAGCTCTTAATGTGACCTAAGGAAAAAAAAGCCTTTGTCTACACTGGGTGGGATTCCTGCAAATGCTGCATTTCAGGGCCATGATTGGTGCTCCATGCTCACTGGGAATGTGCAAGAGATAGCTCTGAACACTGGTGGGACCTGAAGGGAATGTGGGGTGTGCTGTGTGAGCTGGGGTGTGAGGGGACCCTTCCCACTATGTCCATGGGGACCTCTGGAGAGTGGGGCTCGAGCCATCCACCCAAGGGAGCACAGGTGGTTTGCTTTCTGTGGTGATCCTGGCAGCAGGATTATTCAGTGGATTTGTTTTCCTGACCTTAACCCCTTTGATGCCAATTATTACTCTCCAGCTCTTCCTTCCCTGCTTGTTGGACTGGAAAAGCTTGGTGTTCTTCACATCTGTCAACCAACAGATTCTCCATCCTGCCGGTCATCTGAATAGCAACTGAAATACAAGCCCATATATCTGCAAGAGTAAATGTCTCTTTTCATTTTGAACCAGGGAGATGCAATATTTAACCATGCAGGAGTAAGCTGAAGGGTGGCATTTGTGAGGAGGAAGAAATGATTTAGGCAGCTTGTGTTGTGAACTAGCATGAGGTTTTTGGATAGGAAGAAAGGGGAAAAGCCCTTTAAAGCTATGTAGGAACATCACCAGATACACTATTTGAACTGTTAGTTAATGGTAAAATGAAATATTTCCTACCCATGAAAGTACAAATCATGTATTGAATCAGATTCCAAAGGCGATGTAGTATGATAAGAAATGCCAAAAGTGTTATGCAGAATGCTAACTCCTGTGAGAAAATAAGAAGAGTGCTTCACCAGTGTTGTCATCACATGAGCTAGTCATTAGCACTATGTTCCGTGAAAAAGCTCTGTTTCCACAGCACTTTTCCATGATATACTTTAATTAGAAGAAGGGAGTAAATACAGTGGTGTGAAGAACATCAGCTGGGGTTTAAAAAAAAAGGGAGTATAGCACTTCAGAGTGGGTTGAGTAGAATCACATGCAGGAAAAATACAAAGTTGAAGTTCACATACTTGAAAATGATCACTGCCCCATGACAGCAGTCATTTCCTTTGTGACATAGACACATCTCAGCTCAGATCCTTAAATCTGACCACAGCATCATCTCATGGCATCACCCTCACTCGGTTACTCTTTTTCTATTCTTCTGCACATTTCTGCTTCTTGTGCTTTCCCATCTCTTGCCATGTCTCCAGCCTATTGGCAATCCCATCCTCAGCTGTTTCCCCTGCTCCTTTCTCCCACATCACCAGAACCATGAGCTACTCTTCTCCACATCCTCCTCCTCCTTCCAAAATGCCAGTATCACCTGTGATCTGGGAAAATATCGAGATGCAGCAACCCCAAACTCACATGCCAGCAAGAACTGACATCTTTCCTATGTGCCTGTTTTGCTCCTGGTACCCAATGAAGAAAGCTGGGTACCAGGCTGCTGTCATTTTTCAGACACAAACACAAGTTCTGTTCCTTTTCTTGTTGCTGGGGCTGAGGGGTGCAGACCACATTTAGGCAAGCTCCCAGAAAATTAACCTAGAACAGAATTTTCCTACCTATTGTGAGATTAGGGTGCTTGGTCATCAGTGTAACTGATAAGAGGAAACAGCACCAATAAATTTCACTGTGAATTTACTTTTTGCCAGCTCATTTCAAATATACTTAAGAAGAAAATGTCATAGTAGATTTCATAATTTTAAAGTACTTGTGTTTTTAATTCCACTCAAATATTCTGACATCAAACCCTGACTTGAAAAATTAGCCACAATTTAGTGGTCAAATGTTACTTTTGTTAAGAAAGTCAGCCACCAAATTCAAGTATCACTGACTGAAACCTCTAGCAGAGGATAAATGCCCCTTTTACCACATCTCTGAGAACTCCTTCTTCTAACTTTTTGCCTGGCACATGATTGTTTATCTATTGTCATACAATTGTTGACTATATAGTTGCTTATGTATGCTATATAGTCATCTTCAAACTTAAAGGAAACAGCACGAAATCCTTAATATCCACTTTTTCTTTCTCTCTCTCACACACACAGACACACACACAACCTTCTCTCATTGCACACATACAGGTAATTGCTTTGTTAAAACATGCAGCTAGAACGTGTAAATTACGATGGTTTGATTTACAGGGTGCTGCTCATGGGCTGGTCACCAGACACTGGAGCAGGACCTGGTGCAGTGTGCAAATCCTTGCACAGCTCCCTCAACTCTGTTCCTTGTATCTTTGGGCCACGTGGAGTTTGTATACATGTGCTGGAGGAGGGTTATTCAAATTCAGGTTATACCAACTCTAATGTTGTCATTTTAAGGAAAACATCCTCCTGTGCTCAACACATCAGTATCTGTTATCCCATCATGCTGCTGAGTGTCTAACCCTGAACTGAAATGTATCATCTTCATGCTCTCTTTTAATCAAGTCTCAAGAATCCTTGGAGCAAACCCTCTGCCACAGATCTGAACCCAGGAAATCACACTCCTTACTGAGAGGCAAGCAAACACACAGGAAGGCTCTGGGTGTTTGCACAGCTTTGTGTTCACATGGGGAAGCACTCCAGGTGCAGCCACAGAGCTGCAGAAGGCGAAGCCAAGCCATAGCTGCTCAACCAGTCACGGTAGGA